TAGCACAGCACATACCATACAAAGGTGCATTTAGAAATGAAGTACAGGTACATGTATGGTACCGATACAAAGTAGAGGCCAATGATGTACGTTTTACTTACTGCATTTCATGTTAAGTTTCTCAGCATCAAATACTCTGCAATATCTGCACAAGACACTTGATGCCATGGCAACAAACCGGCTGACATCAAAAACACCGTCCAGTTTTTATGGATGGTGTCTTCATGCAGCTACTGATCACTGGAAGTTCACTCTAATTGACACATTTTAGTGTACAAGTCTGGTAACACAGGTTCTCAAGTAATAATATGCATAGTACAGGGAATACCGGTACATCCATGTTTCATGTGTACATGTACGTGTACATGACATGTACGATTGTAGGCCAACATTGTGCAAAGCCAGACAAAATTACGTTCTCAGCTGGTTGCAAATACCGTACATGTGCCTTCCAGAAATCTGGCAGTCAACATGACTACAGCTACAATGTAAATGTGCCAGTATTATCTTACCTGACATGTGTCACATGTAATACACATTTTACATGTATGTTCCTTGCCCTTCATACTTGACCATATCAGTCACACTATGGTCATACGTGCAATACATGTACATGTACATGCATGATGCATCAAACTGTGTGAACGTACATGTTTGTGTACTGTACAGTGTTTGTACATGTACATGTACGTCCTCACTAATCACAGACCAGTCAAAATAACCAGTCTAGAAATGAACTGGCCACAGCAGAAGTTACATGTATCAACAACAACACATCATTAGCATCAACCTTCTTGACATCTCTAGCCTGCCAAATCAATCACAGTTTGATCCATGACCATTCATTTCAGCATTGCCTCTTAAACTCAGCTTGCCAGCTCAACTCCAGACAGTAATTAACATTCAGCCAGCCTGCTTTGTAATAATGGTCAGCTGTGAAATAATCACACAGCCAAAAGAATACTGCAAGAACTCTGAACTTGAAGTGCATGCATGTCTCGTACTTATAATAAAAGAATGAATCATCGTCACCAACAGTATGGTGACGAGTGTGTATGATTTGAGGACTGTGTATTATTGTACACTGATGGTGAGATGAGCTTCACTGAGATTCTTGTCAATGTGTGGCGTGATGTCATACATGTATCAGGCCAGGAGATCTGTTCTGCACATTACGTGGGGCTGTAACATGGCTGAATACTTCTGTAGGGGACTGTATGGCAAATATAAACAGAGAGAAAGGTAGAGTACATCGAATAATATACACGCACAACACATGCAGGATACATGTACATGTTGTATACTTTCCTGTCGGTCTAGAAATGTAAACAACAGTTTTCTCTGTTAACTTTTATCGCGTAAGTGCAGGGTAGAAGATGGGTTCATATACATGTAAATCAGTATTGTGGAAATGAATGCAAATGTGAATCTGATATCATAGTGTATTCACTGTGAAATTTGCCAAAGTTGAAATGTGATAGACTTGGCACAAAACTCATGAAGTAATTATAAATTCTCTACTTGCATTTCCTTTTCTCTACATGTATGTTACAGAGTGAATTGTAGCGGGTAGCATCTTCTAAGCCACTTTAAACAAGATTCTATTTGTTCCTTCCTGTCTGCTCACAGTTCTCCGACGTTTCCTCTCTACTAACAATCAATTTGCTAGACTCTACAAAGTGTCCCGTGTAACATCCATTGCAGTTACGACACATCTGCCCAGATGAAGGTTTGAATTCCCAGTGCAGAGCAATTGGCAATTCAGCAAATGTGTAATACATGTACATTAAAATCTTGGCCATACATGTATGTTGTAAAATTAAACATTCTTTTTAAGCTAAACTGTGCCTGATATACATGTATGGAGTACAGTACATGTACATGTAAATGTTTCCAAAAACTGATATTCTTGGTAACATGGATACCTTTTTTTGCATAATTGTTCTCATATTTTAATGGCAAGCATAAGATGTTACAATGTACTTGATGGCAGCAAAATTCTGAATATCACAGTTTGACCCTGTTTGTTGCCTCACCACACTTGATAACTGAGGCACCTTAATTTCTCCACATACACGTGTACCGTACATGTACAATGTATGTGTGTCAGTACATTATGAATCCATTAACCCTAACAGTGTGGCATATCATTTGGCTCAGAGGACTCAGGACAAAATAATACACAGAGGTCTGAGCCTGAAGGACCTAGCCCTACAAATAACTACTTCAGGCTAGGGCACTTCCATTGTTACTGGTACAGAGAACAATGAAGTCACGCATGCATAGTGCCACAGCACTGTACAGGATGTATTGCACATTGTCTTATCTATTTTATTTTATGGCTTCAGAGAACAATAACGTCATGTATTCATATAAGCCACAGTGATGTACACTACATTTTACTCTTACCTGTAGGGTAAGTAGTAATTGTTAGTATGATGTAGGGTTAGGGTTAAACAAACATGAAGTCCTTGTATACATTGTAAGTTTGCTGTTCTTAAGATGCTCACAGTCATATCCTTGTGTCCACAGCAAATCGATTAGGATGTTTTGACTAATGGGAAATTGAAGCTTATTGAAGAAACCACAAGTGGAAGTGAGTTTTTTGAAGCAAATATTTTGACAAGGTTTTTCTTCTGAAAGCTGTTTTTAGGGCAAAGTCTTTTGACAACAAGATGTCTGGACTGCAATAAGCTGAGCACATCTGGTCTGGCACTGATCAATTTTTTCCCGAGAATGACTTTTTTCCCTTCTAATTTAAGCCTTATCTTGAACCTTAACGGTTCCCTGATACTTAAGGGACCATGAAATGTAGGAGATTGGGGAAGGATGGAAATTTAAATCAGACCTACTTGAGGATTTGACCTTCAGAAGAATTGTGACAACACTATCTGCTACAAACACCAGCAAGTGTCTTTAACTTATAAATACTAGTATAATATGCACCTGTAGGTAAAAGATGTAAGGGAACATCTCAAAAAATATCCAAGTTTTATTTACAGAAGTTCTGACTGAAATACAAATACATTAATATTGTCAAGTATGAGTGACCATGACCTGGCATCTGCATTGTTCCCAAATTGGAGACAACTACCTTTTATGCACATGTTGGTCGTATCTGCATAAAAAGAAATGTCGCTCAATCACTCTGATCAAGCTGAGCTAGTCAAGTTTGGCTGTACTCTCATCAAAAACTTGAGTCTTGCATGTATCATGTACAAGTACATACCACTGACTTCCTTATGAGCTAAACATAACTTACCATTTGTCCACCAGGGCACAGACAAACACCACAAGTGTTGAGCCAACACTTCCCACCACTTACCCATCTCCTCCTCAAAGAGGACAAACAAGGTCTGAATCCTTCATTTAGCTCAGCCAGTTCACAAAATCTCACCTCACAAACTATCACCTCAGCTCACCAATGATTCAAGGATAATCCCAAGATCTACACAAGAACATCAACGTCCAATGTCTAAGCTCAAATATCACATCAGAAACGTTGCTATACTATGATCATTCACCGTAAACACTGAGATATGAAGATGAGTATTTCCAAGGCACCCTGGCACCAAAGACAAATAAAAAAACCACAGTCAGTGACTCAACTACTTCCTGGACATATCTGCGAAATACACAGGCCAAACCAAGACTTTTTGACAGCAAACCCCCACCCCCCCCATCTTGTCCCTCCGTCAGGAAGACAAGACGTAAAAGATGACAGGAAATCAGTTGGAGCAGCTGAAATTGAACCTTTCAACTGGGAGAACCATGGCAAATTGGGGTTTCCTCTCACCACTTGTCCCAATGGGTCCCAAACTACTTTCTTGGGAGTGATTCTCATTTAACAAACCCCTTCAAAAATGATAATAAAATTATACAATGATGCGTCTGCCCTCCATTATCTTGTCTGATGACAGAGACATCTGGTGAATACAAAGGCCAGAGAGAGTTGTCGAGTTGTTGACAATGACTGAGTGGGGCACTACAGACATACACATGTATAGAGCAATAAGAGGTTCTTAAGATTCTGTCAGAACCTTAAGAATTGACAACGCTCTGGAATGAAATGTTCAGCTACCCTTGACACTGAAAGCAAGCTACATGCACATGTACATGTACTCCTCAGTCTTGCAAACAGGGGCAGATTGTCGAAGATCATCACCATCAAGAATCTGTCTTTCCTAATGCAAATGAATCTAGTAGTTTTTGGTGCTTTGCAGAGTCCAAGAACCCCAATCCAGCTATTGTCGTCATTCTGGTACATGTACACTGTCAAAATCAGCTGCAACAGGGTACTGACAAGTTAGAGTACATGTAGTTTGGGAGACAGGATGACATGCCTACAGAAGTCATACTGTACATTTAGGTTAAGAAGGGGTGACAGGAACCAGTCTAAAAGCATTCAGCAGTGTTTAGAATCACTAACACCATAAAAAGTGTTCTATTCGCTCTTTGCACACTGCCGCCACAGGCATGCAGAGCCTCGATCTGGCAGCTTTACGCAATAAATATAGCCAGTTCAGTGATTCCTGTGTATGTTGCAAATGTAATTTTGCACGTGCTGCTTTTTATACCATGCAATTGGACAAAGTGATTCTGACGCGACTGCATAAGCTGCCAGTTCGAGGCTCTGCATGAATATGGTGGCAGCAAAGAGTGGATCATCCTCCTGCACAGGATGGGAACGAGTATTTTTGTAATACAGCAACAATGTCCTTCCGGTTGGAGCTCGCTACATGCATACACATTGACTCAGCCCTACAGTATACATGTACATACATAAATAAGAAACCAACGCAGAATAATACCAGTATACATGTAAAAAACAGTTTAAGTAGAAATACCACCATGAGGTACACTAAAGGCAACCCCAGGTAAAGTAAAGCAGTTATACATGTATTTTCTAATCAAATATTGATGCCTCTTATAATTAGGCAACACAATGCCATCTGCTATGCCAATGTCTCTTTTAATTCATGAAGACAATTCAGTATTACCTCTCTGCAGACAGAATCTCATTCTTCAAAGGCAAAGAACCAAATCTGTGACAAAAACAACAGAACAAGAAGGTCAGTCTTAAGTCAACAATTGAACAAGTTTTGAAAAATAATGAGTCCAGCACCAACTACAAAAGAGGAAAACTCAGGGAGAAAAAAAGGGAGGAAAAATGAATGATCATGGTATTATGCTGATGAGCCTTCGTCAGGAATGGTCATGAGCTTCAACTTCCTGAACCACACTCCCACGAGTCTACCAACAATGACTCTGGAAAAAACCCAATGGCAAGCATGTCATTACCAAGATGGGATCTGTTGACAGAGGTACTAGTGAAGCATGTACATGTACAAAACACACTTGTCATAGCTATTGTCACTAAAGTGTACAAAAGTCAAAGATGAAACTGCAGCCTAGATGTGTGAAGTTACAAAAACCGGAAGAACAGAAACAGGTTAAAGTTGGAAATGTAAGGTATGCATGTAACATCACAGCTCTGAGATGAATGTAACATCAGGTGGTTTCTTACAAATAAAAAACCAGCACCATGAGACTGGAACGTACATGTCCAATTTAACATCCAAACAGCTCCATCTACCTGCATCAGTGGGATTTGAACCCAGTCCCAACTCCCAAAGGAAGGTATGTCCATGCCCATTATAACATTCAAACAGGAACTTAGAGCTCCATCTGTCTGCATTGGTGGGATTTGAACCTAGTCCCTAGGTACATGTAACGTACATAGTTACCTTTATATGATCATTATAACATTTAAAGTGGAACTGATGGTTTTGGCACCTGTCTACCGAGGTAGGAATTGAACCTGGTCTCAAAATAAGGTGCACAAGTACAGGTATACATCTTCATGTTCCTTAATGCACTGTACATATGTACACATGGGAAATGAGAATGCAACATCCTGACAGTCTACATGTACACGTACAATGTAAGTGGAATATGGACCTACATGTACAATGTAGGTTCCCGAGGTAAAGATGTACATACAGCAAGGACAAAGCTAATTTAACCAAGTTCACTATTTCCCTTCTAATTTGTGCAATGCAGAAGCTCAAATTTAAACACAAGCACTTCAAGTTCCCTTGATTGTAAATATGTATGTACCTGTGCACGTACATGCACACATGTATCAAGCTGGGTGAATTTGTGTGCACACACATGTACATGTATACTGCCACTGTTCACATTCAGTTAGAAAATTGATGTTTGCACAATATGAAGACTGCCTTTATCACATTAAAAATTTTTCACAACTCACAATTGTAAAGGCTGGAATTTTAGGTGAGGCTATTCACTACTTTCATGCCACTTTCCTATTGAACAAATCCACAAAGAACCTACAGATGAATGAGTGTGGTGCTCCACAAAGCTAAGACTTGATAAAGGACCAATTGAACTGTGACCAACAGCTGAGCTTTAGTTAACAAGTGTGAGCTGAGCTTTAGCACCTACACAAGAGTACATGAGGAGATCTTTTGGCCGCGTTGCTAAACGCAAAGTGGTCCAATTTAATACATGTAGAGAAAAGAGTTCCAAATTAAACCTGGACATCATATGACACCCCACATTTAAATCCTATAAATGAGACTAGTCTTAAAAATTTGTTTCCTAAATGAACGCTTTAATTTTTCCCTGCTAAATTTGTAAGACATGTTGTCACTTTCTAAAACTGGAAGCTACATGTAATATATCATAGTAGTGAAAAATTAGTGACACCCATGAAAGGAATTCTCGCCCTGCTAAAGTTGGACACAATGATAGGAAATTGTCATCCCAAGAAATGTGCCAAGCTTCCAGTCCTGGAAACAGGTTAACTTTAGCAAAATCCACAAAATTAAGCACCCTGACTTTGCAGTTAAGGCTTTGACACAGCACTACTAGCGCCTGTTGTATGTTTGATTATGCTCACGTGAGCTTTATTGGATTTTTCTTCAGAAAGAGACTGCAAACCTTTCACAGCACAGTGCAGTCAGTACACTGACAGATTCTGAAAAGTTTCTCATGGAAATGATTAGGACAATGGTAGAAAAATTTTATCAAAGCAATGATAACAAAACAGACAATAAAAATGGAAAGTCAATCATTTCACTTGGTACAAGACTGAACCATGTTTACACAAAACATCGGACAAGTCAAATGTGCTGTAGCAGCATGAGTAACGACTGGATTAACATAACCAGGATTTTAAATCACATACATGTACTTGATAACTGCATGGCTTCCTCCATGATTATTGGGAAAGAATTTCATACACAGATACCGCTTGGCACCATGCACACAAACCCTCCTTTTCATATGAAAAGTCAAATGAGGGTTTTCTAAATAAGAAGTTTACTACTAGTTGAGTCTAAGTAAATACGAGTCCCTAAGTCAATATTTTCATTTACCTACTCTACTAGGACATTTTATTGCCTAAGGTCACTGCAGGTTAAAAATTTTGTGGTGTCCATATATAGGATTCTTTCCTGTTGTTATGCATGCAGTTATTTATTCGAGATGCTGTTTTCTGCAGCGCTGACACACTGACAGCATCTCAGCAAAATGGGTCGACTCATATCTGAATTAACTCGTACCAAGGTCAACTTGTGCCCGAGTAAACTTGTACCCAGGTTGGCTCGTACCCGAGTCAACTTGTACTCCCCAGCAGAGCATTAATAGGACTTTGATGCTCACATTTATTAAACGCATGTTCCTTTCACCAGTCGGATTTCGTTGAAAATCCCCACCATTTTCAGGACATAAAATGCATCTGATGCACGCCCCCTGAACAGAAATGTTCCACAGACATACCTCTCCATCCAGTTAACGTATTTGTCAATTTTAAATTTACACATCCAAGGTTTTTTTTTTCGTATGGCTTGATTAATTTGACGTAATAAAATCAGTGAATATACTTTAATAGTATCTAGTATGGTTCCACCATTGATGTCACAGCTTATTTTGGGGATATATAATAATTAATAATTAATTAAGTTCAAAAGGGGAAGAAAAGTTCTCGTATATCAAAAATAAAAGCAAACAGAATTGTAATAATTGATAAAATGAAACCGTTCAGAGCAAAAAAGGAGAAAAAAAAAAGTAATCCTCATCGTGGGTACGAGTTGGCTGGGGTACGATTTGACTGGAGTACGATTTGACTGGGGTACGACTTGATTGGGGTACAAGTTGACCAAGGTACGACTTAACTCGGGTACGAGCTGACCCAAAATCCATCTTAGCACCAGTCGGAATATGCTCAAGTCATGTCAGCACGTCGAGTTCTCAAGACCATTCTTAAAATCTTAGTTCTACAATTTATGCACAAATGACAGATACAAAAATACAGGCTCAAAAATGACTGAGTAGGAAACGAGAAAAATATCACCACTCACCTCAAAGAAAAACCACAAAAACAGCCAGTCTTCCCATCTTCTGGGCTGACATTCTGAGGCGGTAGGCGCGGACGGAACACACATAAAATGAATGTGCACGTACGAAACAAATGACTACGCGCAGGCTAATTAATTCTAGGCAAGGCTAAAATGTTTAGAAGTTTTCGCTGGTAACAAACTACCATGCCAGATCACTTTTGTGGTTGCAAAACATGGGTACCAGTGAGAAATGTAAGGTCTAAAAAATTAAAGCCCAAAAGAGCCCAATTTATTTTGACAAATCAACAAAACCTAAAGAAACAGGCGCGGGAACATATACCTAGACAAATTACATATTTGGGCTATTAAACGCGTTTGGAGTGGCAATTGGGGTGATGTTAAAGTATGCGTTGTTTTGAAATAGACTGATACCCATGGTCCTGGGCATCAATTAGATGATTCTTGTCCTTGATAAGTCCGGACGCCAGGTGTCTCTTGTCTCCCGCGAACTGTAAATGGAAACGCGTTTGACATTGTAGGATTTCTTCCCAGGCCGACATAAGATCTACAAGTTAAAACTAACGTTACAAGCCATCCGGCTTTTGAGTTGTTGTTATTGCCTGTAACTTGTAAGGGTTAAGGCTTAAGCTTTTTAAGCAAATTTAATTTGTAATTGTATTGTTCAAAGTGTCATGATCATGTCTGGACAACCATTTGTTTGACCATATTGACTAGGCCTATAAATAATGCTATGAGCAAGTTTTAGTAGGCCCATGGAGTGTGTTTTATTTCTCCATGGTAGGCCCTAGGTTGCGCGTACATGTATTTCTAATCTGTGCAGATAACTCTGAGTTTAGTCTTTAAACGTGTGCAACTTGTTACGTTCATCCGGGGGCCTGGCTGGTGGCACAGAGATTCCCATTCCCTTCGAAGTCTAGACGAGAGCTGTCTGACACCAGTGAAAAACTGTTAACTGTTGCCTTGAGCAAAGGCTAGGATTCCAGCAGTACAAACTAGTACATGTGCCCTGGCCCCCCCATGAAATGTATGTGCCAGGCTGTACATCACGCAGCACACACGTCACGCTCGAAACAGACCCGACAAAATTGTGCAAAACATATAGTTGATGTTGGTCACTTATGTATGTCTGTTGCCTGTGGTTCATATATCCACACAATTTTATCACTGTTTTGGGCAAAATTTAAAAATTGCGTACTTTCAAAAATAGCGTTCAACAGCTATATGTGTGACAAAACATTGTCAAAAATTAATACATTAAAAACATATACATAAAACATTTGTTGTGTCATGTCAAATCTTTTATGTATATGTTTTTAATGTATTAATTTTTGTTTGTCTTGTTTTCAAAAGCCAGTGGAAAAGTGTAATAGAATAAATAAATAAATAAAATAAGATTGTTGGAAGGCAAAAAGGAAAGAGGTCCATATATGGGCAACATTAATTTGCCTTTAAAATGTAATAACAGCCATGAAAAAGTGATAACACATCCTAAAAAGTGAAATTTAGCGAGCAAAATTCCCAACCATTTACTGAGAAAACACTTAAGACAAGTGAATTCTTTCAAGGTTCAAGGTTTTTCAGACAAGTCTGAAGTTTGTGCACAAAGGCATCAAGTGCTATCCATATTCCGTACAAGTATATGGAACTCTTTGCAGCACAAAACTCCCAAAAATCTGAGTCAAACTGAGAGCCAAAGTCTAGAAAACTTCACAAGGAAATAAGGAAAATTTAAGCAAGATACAACATTAGGCGAGACTTAAACATTGCACACTTGTAAGAATAACACCTGAGAAGCACAACTGTTAATAACCAGCCAGTGCAAATGTGCACTCTCACAAATCTCCCCTTAGAATATATAACTAAAAGTGGTGCTCCTCCCTGATGTGAAAATTGTATTCACCTACATGTATGCATGTGTTATTCTATGGTACATCAAGTACATGCTAAGTAATCATACGTTAAATTAATTCAAGCTTATTACTCAGAGTGATCCAATTAAGTGATCGTAGTTTTGAACCCAGGAGGGGGGTTGTCTCCTCCACTCTGTCAGGCTCAGGATGTGAGCTTTTTGTGCGTGAGTTCAAGGGGAAATTTAAATGTATGTGGTGGCAGGTATGTAGAGTACACCCATGTTTTCCTCCAGATGTTCAGAAGAGATTAATCTCATCTAACATTCAGAACTTGTGATGTTTTGTAATTCAGAATGACAAATGAGACAACCAATGTAAGATTGCCTCAAGACAAGATGTGTCAAAAGAAACATCAGGGTATTCATTCTTTTGAACGGCAGCGAAGTTATGGATTCAATTACTTCCTCGCAGCAGATCCAGACAGTCAACGTGAAAAGTGCAGAATGACAACCAACGATGCCCATAGACTTGCCCTCCAGTCCTTCCTCTCTCGGGGTGTCATGTCCATCACTGAGGTCAAAGAACTACACAAGACTGCTTGCGAGACATTCAATGGTATCATGTTATAGTAGCCTTGCAAGGTTTAGTCCCAATTGTATTATAAATTTCAATTTCAAAGATGTATTGCTTGTTTACAGTGGAAAAACTTTTCAGCCTGGAAGTTTGGCTTTATTCAGTAGTCCAATATTCTCGGCCATTTCTGTGTCATTCTATCTGTAAACTGTAAGATATTGCACATGTATCTGAAGGGAAATTTTTTTGTCGATGGAGCATTGAAATGTATGTTTAAACTTGCACTAGTCGTACATGTACATGCAGTGTTCAAAATAGGAACACTTGCCATATGTCACATCAAGATCAATCATATCAAATACAGAGAAAAATTTACTTGGTCTGTTTTGACAACAGTGCACTTTGAAAACACCATGGAATGCCTGCAGAGTTTCTTAGAGAAGATCAATGAGAACATCAGCAGTGTTGGCATGGAGATCCGATCCAAGAAGGATGAGGAAAAGGGCAAGCTTATGTTTGCTCTTGTCAGGACGACGGAGTCTGAGTTGGGCAGGCTGTCCTCGGACTATCAGAAAAACGATCTTGAGCTTTTCAAGAAAATTGTGAGTGTACTATTGTAGATTCAGAAATAAGATGGAATTCTTGCAGCTCCTTGAACAGGATAGAGTGGGTCATTAAGTAAACATTTACATGTACTTATTTCTATTTTTCTTCAGCTGGATTTAATTGTTGAGTCCGAGTCTGGCAGTGCATCTTCTACAGATGTCTTGAACCTGACTAGTCATCTTAAAGAGAAGATGTCAAAACAAGAAGCACAGAAAATCCTGAGCAGACTTATCAAAGAAAAATGGCTGACAGAGGTAATACACAACACCATCCTAGGAATGAAAAGGCAACTTTTGTCAATCAGACATAATTTTCTCTTCCTTTTTTTTATTATTTTCTTTTAAGAGTCAGGGTGAGATTTCGTTATCACCAAGATCAATGATGGAACTTGAGCACTACTTGGCCGATGTCTATGAGGAGGATGTTAGATATTGCCACCTGTGTAAAGAAATAGCTCTAAAGGTAAAGCTAGAGTATAACAGTAAATTAAATGATAAGGGAGGTTAGGGCCTGCGAGAAATGTTGTCTACAATCACCTACCCTCCCACCAATGCACCCAAAAATGAGTTTTCAACCCTGTAATAATTTTCTATTCAAAAGTCCATTTGGTTTGATCTGTCTGATTATTTTTTGGTTCATCTCTAGGGTGAGTTATGCTCCTGTGGGCTGAAGCTGCACAGTTTCTGCGCTGCTCGTCTCTTTCGGGGGAAAAGTGACTTCAGATGCCCTGGCTGTGAAGAAGTCTGGGATTATGACATTCCTTTGGATGAAAGAGGTTGGTGAATATGCTCAGTGCGTTTTGACACCGGGTGTATATCCAAGTCCCTTCCGGTTAGACCAATATCAGTCCAATATTTTCCCAGCTTTATTAACTTCTTGTGAGATACACTCGAAGCTCATTGATAAGAGGTCCTTGGGACTTTGTTTTATCTCATTTTCATTTCTGATAATACAAGGTTCCTGTTATAACAAGGTTGTCTACAAAGGATTGGGACCTAAAAATGACATTGGTATAAGCAGAATGTTGTTTTAGCAGTAATCTTAGAAATGAAGTTTGATGGTGTAACATTTCCACATTTGTTAAAAATCAGAGGTCATTTGTGGAATCAAGTGATTTGACGACTCTTTTTCTTTGCAATTTGTCCACAGCTTCCAACAGTGCAACTAGTAAGGACACAGTGACAGGACGCAAGAGAAAAGAACGGCTGTGAATCAAACTGTTAACATCACGCTACAACTCACATCATTTACCTGACACATCATTGAATACCAAGAGATGCCACTACTGGGCAAATCTCTGATATAAGCAGCCCCTTGGGATTGTAGTATCAGGACAAATATTAAGATGCACTGTCGTTTTGTCAGGTAGGCAGGGACAGTGCATGACATTTGATATGTGACATCATGTGTCATGCTCCTTGTGGACTCACAGTGCTGCAGTGACAGTCTGGGACAGTGTCTTACTAGCAAAATCTGAGCTACAAATGTATGTCAAAAACGAGCATTCTTTCAGATTTCTCCATTTCTATTGGTTAACGAAAACATCTCACAACTCCTTTGTGATCAATTTACCAGGTCATTGGTCTCTGCAGAAGTTTGCAGTTTGAATATACATCCTCATGTAAGCTGGGGTTTAGTCACTTAGGGTTTTTATTGATGTAGGGTCGAGTTTGTAAAGAAATTTTCAGAATTCCTGCTTTGGTTAACTATAAAGTTTTTCTTTAATGCCTGCATAATTTACATCACTTCAGGGCTTTTGCAAAAGTCACTTTACAATTTAAACCTCTTAAAATGAGATTTGGTCCTCTTTGTGAGTGGATAGTCAGTTTAATGGATTGGCCAAGCTCATTCTGGCCTTCTCTGGACACCAGACCATGACATCAAGAAAATGACGCCTTAAGTTTAAACAATCTAGAAAGTTTCAAAATACAAGTATTTTTATGAGGCATACATATAGTACCATTTATTTTCCAACAGTATTTTCTCTAAGCATTCCAACAAAAGTGCTTTGAACAAATAAATTGTAAAAAGCAAAATACAAATCGAGCTACCTTTCACTCCAACAAGTAACGTCTCAAAATATGTGAAACATTTTTCCCTTTTTGAGTTAGTTACAACAAAGCTTTCCTGTGAACACAACAAACCTTAAACCAATTTTTCTTCTTCGGATGTCAAATGCAGGAACTTGAAATTTGTAAATTCTAAAGACAAAATGATGTTTTGAAAGCAATTACATGTATATCCTAATTAAAAGAAGAAAAATTTCAGAGCTCTGCTTTATGGAATAAGTATTGAAACATACATGTACATCTATTCTAAGACCCATTTCAAATGTCGTGCTTATGTCGTGTCAAATAAAATTCCATTGAGCATGAAATGAGCATGGCGTAAGCATGGTGGTGGTTTCAATGTTGAACTTGATTTAAAAAACCCAATCGAACTTAAATAATCCAACATGGTGGACCAACACAACAGGTGATTTTGCAATTTTTCAGCCTGAGTCACAAGGAAAACGAATTTTTTCCTAAAAAAAAACTTGAGTCCTTTTTATTCTGGTATGGTTCCCAGCAATCTAGCAGTGACATCTCCATAAAGTATCACCCAGGTAAACAGTCCCATATTTGGGAGTCTTATTCCGACATTCAGACAGGATTTTTAGTTTTAAAGGTCATCTTTGAGTATATCTTATCTGTAATCAAGCAGGAATTTAAAAGAGAAATGGTGTAACTCGAACCCCAATCTCCCCCGAGCTCCGTCTTGCAAGGTTGCCCTGTGCATTTCGAGAAATGTCCATTTTAGTGGCCATATTTATTGATGTGTTTGTTGGTTATTTTTCAACTCTACTACATGTGAACATTTGCATTCTTAATTATCAACAAAGTTTAGGACCAACTTCGAATAGAAATTGTATTCAACTCCGCAGTAGCATGACATTTGAAATCACATCATGATTCTGCCGTACTTGATGACATAAGCATGGCAGACCCTGTCGCCAAAATCCTCTGCCATGCTGAAATCAATTTGCTGAGCCAAACTGGTTTTCAAATGTGCCTATGCCATGCCGAATACAAAAATCAAGTTGAAAACTGTATTCGACACGGCATAAGCATGACGTTTTAAAACAGGCCTAAGGTTGCTGCTTTTTAAGAAAATGAGTAAGAACGTTGCCAGGAGTGGGGATCTGAATCTTTGACCTCTTCAAAAGCATTCCAGTACAGAGAGTCATGTTGGCAGTTTCCCAGTATTCTGAAAACAGTGACTTGTTTTACTAGTAAAAACAATTAGCACAGGGCTGAATTGGTATTTGTCAGAATGTAGCCAGTGGAAGCAAAAATGAAGACACCCGAACTGGGCCATTTCCCTAAAAAAGCATTCTTTAATTATATGTATGGTAAGTTGGTAAAAGGACAGCATGTACAAGTAAGACCAAATATCAAATTCTGGACTCTCATTCTAAAAATCTGTCCAATGAAAATCTGATAAGTAGTGATCTCAATAAATCGTCGGTACAAAAATGTGAATTGCTAGATCAGGGTTCTTGGAAGCTAAAAAAATACCGCAAGGTGGTTCTCGAAATGAAGCGATCAAGCTGCAGATGGAAGCTACAGCAGACGAATCCCATAACGTAACACCATGAACAAACTGAAAAAAAAAAAATTACACTTTAAAATGCTAGCTTTAAAAAGAGCAAAATTATCTGGTCAGTCCTGTAATTATGACATGATAATTTGTTTCACCTCAGTGCAGACAGCAAGCCAGCAGGCATGAATTTTCCACTGTTCATAAATCGCATTCCCATGACGACCAGTAGGATGGCAGAAGCACCTGTAAAATGTTCCATTGCCAATTGAGGTGAATCAGTAAAAAGAGAACACGGGAGTGCAAATAGGGAAGAGCTCCATACATGGACATCACCCTCTTTTCCAAACAGTGGTATGTATAAATAGCCATGAGATATGTCCAAAAGAGTCATTTTAAGCAGGGAAAATATCCAAACATTGACTTAGAAAATGCTTGGAATATTCTGCGCAGTCTCGCAGGGTCTGTACACAGGATGCGTTTGAGCAAGCTACTCTTGTTAACATGAGTACTCTCCTGAAGCGCACGAACGGCAGGAGTATGCCGCGTGGCTCAGCAAGAGTATACTTTCCGTCATGCATGCACACTCCTGACCCGAGAGTAATGCGCGCGCATCCTCACTCAACTGACGGGAGTAACCGTGCGAACGCAACCAGGGTGTCAAGTGATGGCCACAATATGGAATTCTTTCCATGTAGTATTTTGGTTAATTCAATCTGCCTCGAGCACAAGAACCCCCTCATCAAGAGTGTTCATTTTGTTTGTAGCGATGCAAACGTCATGCATACATTCCATAGTCACTTGTGTTCACTGTTCAGTTCTGACCAAAGGAACCTCCCTTGCTAAGACAACTGCACAATCTCTAGGTTTAGCTCGGGGCTCATACTCAATGATGCATAACTAGGTTAAACCAAAGTACTGGTTTGAAGAAACTCATTGTAATCACTGAGAGTTTTTGATCAATACACAAACTGCTGAAGAATTCAACCCTTACCCCAACAGCTATCCCAAGAACTGTGGGGTCCGACGTCTGCCCAGCTCCACGAACGGGGCAGATGTCAGACCCCACAGTTCTGAGTGTATGCAACAGCTATTTAATTTGGGCACGTAGCTTTTCCCAGCCGAAGACCTACACACAGATCAGCCCAAAGCAAGCTGCATAACAACTTACCAAAGAGAACAAGGCAGTTAGTTGGATTCTTTGATGTCAACGAGGCACCATAAGCTGCCATGCCACCCATGGTCAATCCCATCAACAATGATATGGTGCTACCTGAAACATGAGATGGAATAGTTATGACACTCGACTTATTGACTGGACTCTGCTTAACCAAAAGCTCTCTTCTCTACCCAACCTCCCTCACTCTCCCTTGGTCAAAATGCCCTACCCACACACCCCTTCGCTCCATTTTCATGTTTACAAACACTGTACAGCCGTTCATGTCGTGCCCCCTATGTTCTGAACGGAGGGCAATCCCGAGTTGAGCCGAAAACAAACACTAACGTTAGACTGGGTAATAAATTAGCCTACATGTACTTACCAGCTTTTACAAAGCCAATGACACCTCCAACAGCAACAAATGCTGCATATCCAAAACCAATTATATCCGTCATACTGGACTTTTTATTTGAAGCGAGGTATGAAAGCTTTTATAATCGAATCGTCAATGCGAACAAGCTTGCCTAAAAATGACGCGAGGTGACGATACCACCGGCATTCTTACATAGCGCCCTCCTGTGATTCTACTTATTTACGTCCCTGCCGCTGAATTTTAGCAGCCCTTGGATTTCGTTATTTTGTGCCAGAAATGGGTAGAGAGCTAGAGGGGGATGACATGCCCGGCCACGGAAATTGAAACGCGGGGGAAAGGAACCATGTATCTCTGTAGGGGCAATGTTTATAGATGTACATACGTGATAAAAATTACATCCACGTAGACTGTTACTTCAGAATGGAATATTTATGGCTGTTTAAAAAAAACGTGTTCCCTTTTTGAGTGATATTGAATAAATATTAGTCGTTGGAAAGTCCCAAAATTCTTCACAATCCGCTTGACATTTTTGTTCATCATAAGGAAGTGGGGGGGGGGGGATTTAGTAGCGCATCCCCAAACAAAACAAAGTGGGGGGGGTATACTCCGTCCCCAGGGGATTTATGCCCATGCATGTAAATGTAATCGATTTTAGAAACTTTCCGGTCTACATTAAGACAAGTGAAACATTTGGGAACACCGCAACTTTGATATTCTAGAATATTTCATACATTCATGTATGCACCCAACAGTCTAGAACTGGACAATTTTGTTTCAGCGAGTATAAGAAAACAGACGGCAATACGCGGGGGATTCACAATAGTGCGCCTCCAAGAATTTGCAACCCGTTGACCAATCACAATGCACGAAATCTGTCGACCCGGCACTATGGTGAATCGCTTGTATTGAAAAGACTTCATTCATACAGGTACGAAAAAATTAAACATGAAATTTAAAACTACATGTTTTACATGAAGCTACCCACTAAAATACAAGGAACGTTATCTTATCATAATCAAAAGTAAAATGATGTTATATACACACGAAAGTAGATGTAACTTAGGTTCGAAGGTTTTGACAAATCAATTTAACCCTAAAAGAAACGGGAAAGAATCCGCCGACTTGATACTTTTCGGATATCATTTTGACACCAATTTTGTAAGAATCCAACCGACCACTCTTGCGCAGCACCAGTTTTTCACAGACAGGTCAGCCAAAAGGTATACGTTTCCCACAGGTGCTCAACCGTACGCGGGCTGGCACGCATGTAGTCTTGAACTTCTAATGACTGTAACAACAAAACCATTATGTTTGATTGATTTTAAACTTGACATTATTTTGTAATGATAAGGAGTATTCTTACATGCATTCCAAATTTTAAAAAATCGAGCGTACAACTAAGTGCTGGGTTGGGAGAGAATCCGCCCCCACGAGGCTGTGAGATGAGCCAAAATAATCCCTCTATTTGAGGGTTAAATTAGTTTTTCTTGAAGTTCCCGTCGTCGGCCTCGCCTTCTCTGACTCAGCAGCCAATTGCAGAAGTAGTTTTTCAAACGTTCACATTGAGGTGTCTTACGAAAATAGAATAGTTCATTTGGGTTGGGAAGCTCCAAAGGCAAGGATCAAAATTGACCCAAGAGCCAGCCTCAAGGGAAAGAATTATGAAGCCAAAATTTAGACTAAAATTTAATAGTAAATTTTTTTTAAAAGCGTTCTCTATAGAAAAAGTGAAGCGTGGTTAATAACCGAGTCAACAATTGTATATCAGAGTCGTGCAAGAGAGAGTTGCAACACAAGTGTTACCATAGTAACACACGGCATGTGTATGTGCCAAAGGAAAAGGACAGCCACAATACGTATACATTAGCCGCACCATCAACTTTACACATAATAAACACGTATTGTTTACTTTCCAAAATCTAAAGGTGGCGCTCCTCTTTCTCTCTTTCTCTAACGGTTGCAGACCAGTAAGTAAACTTCCATAACCTAAAGTGATAAATACCTGATAATCAGGTAACATACTCAAGAGTTTCTCAGAAGTTTGAGACGCACATCAAATTAAAGCTCTATATATTTTAATTTTTTTTCAAAATTCTATTCAATAACTGATGACTTTGGAAGATATTGTTTTCCACAGGTCACCCCTACAAAGCAGTCGTGAAGCCCTTCACCATTTTGAAAAGTCGATGCCTACACTTCTTGAAAAATAGACCGTTTTTCAGGCGCCGATTTCTTCCAAATCTCATTCAGACAAGGTGGTATTTGTTCCACTAACCTGTTTTTTCTACAATTCTTGAAGTTCACGCTCTACTTATGATTTTGTAGAGAAAATGAGTACATTACAAATTATTGTGATTTGGCCAACGCAAGCAGTTTTCGGCCTATTTATGGCCTGCACGCAACAGGTGAGCTCATATTAATGCACAGCGCCCTCTGTGCCCCTAATTCCATCCAACGTGACATCGGTTATCATGCGAATTACGATGTGAGGTAGACAAATCCTCCGTCCTTTAGAATATCAAATTCCCGCAACACTGGCTCGTTCTCATCGGAAGTGTAGTTCTGGACATTACCTGAGATAAAAAAAAATGCAGAAGAAAAGGAAGTAAGGATTGGTATCTGTACAGTGAGCTGGCAAATAAACGTCCGTCTGGACAAATCACACCAGCCTACGGGTAATTTACGATCTCGTTGTGTAATAAAAATATCCCATGGCCATACGTGGCGAAAGTTGGTCTTTGTCCCTATCCACCTTGAGCAGAAGCACCCCCTCATCTGTTGAAAAGAGCAATTTTGGTGAGGAGTGTTCCTTTTTGTTGCATTTTACGCAACCGCAACGCATGCATTTCATGGTTGCACTACACCAAATACGCGCCCATAGAAAACAGTGCAAAATCGGACCGACATAGGGCCGCCTCTTGACTCTCGTGAAGATGTTGGCCTCCGTTTTTCCACTGGAAATTCAAGATCATGGCCAGAAGATAACTTTTCGTTTCAATTTCATGGAGGTTGGCCAAGAACATTTTTTTATTCGCCTTTGAATGAAGATACCCCAAAATAGCAAAACAACTAAGCGCTCATTTCCGAATGTAACCGCCCGCCTCTATCCAAAATATGTCCGCAATTTCGGGCTTTTTGTGAAAGAAATACCCTGAACTGGAGACTATCAGTCCTAAATTCGAGATTCATAGAACTATTTCTATGATGCCTCCTGATTTTGGCCTGTCTTATTGTAAAAAACCCGTGGGATCATAAAATATCATTGAACTCGAGAGCAGAAATACGAGCATTTAGTGGAATGCACCATCATAGTTGTTCGTGAACCGGCGAAAAGCAGTTCCCACCAAAGAAGCCTCGCTTGCCAGGAAAATGGCGCCCTCTCTAGGTCGAGCTAGGGCCTTGAAGGCGTAAGGGGCTCGTGCTGCTTTTTTCCCAATGGTTGCCAACCTTCTAGCCCTTACTACAGCCTTTCAAAGACAAAACCCTCGACAAAACGAACATCCAAACAGAGTCCACTCCCCTAGACACATGCCACTTTGCCAATGATCAGAACGAATCAACAGTAGGGGTCGTTGCTCTTGCAAGATAGCAGGACCAAAGATCCTCGTCTCCAGCAGGTTACCGTCTGAAGACGCAGTCCGTACTTCTACGGAATCGTCTGCGTGAAAGTACCACGATTCATCGCTGCCGTGAATTTGATGCCACACGACGTCTCTTTTTACTGTGATCAGGTCCGAGTAACTAGGACTCTAAACGAATCGCCCCTTTTAACTTTTAGACATGGTTGGGTGATCTTGGGCTACTGGAAACCCTCAGGCCTTCCCTTCCACAATAAATTCAGGGTTCCCGCGGCCTGGAAAACTGAGTCATGAAAAAGTCATGGAAACTTGTAAAAATGACTAAAGTCAAGGAATTTTCAAGCACAGGGTGTGATTTCTATTACCAGATAAGGCATAAAATGCGTGCTTTTATTCACAACTTTAAAGTCCAGATAGTCCAAGATATTGCATTATTCGTCATGGATTTTCATAATTTGGTCATGGAAAAATCATGGGATATGTTTGTCCTTTAGGTGCAGGAACCCTGTAGCCTACATATAAATCGATTTTCATGCAACGTAGCTCAGAGATTCCAGAGTCACCATAACTGGCGCACTTTGACCACATTATATGTATGAGCGAATTTAGAGTACTCCACGGTTTAGAGTACTATACCCCTATCAAAATCCTCGGATTTCACCCCCAAACAGGCCAAAACTGTCCAATGTGCCAACTTTAGGATTCAGAAGCAATCGGAGATTCCGTGGTAGTAAAGTTTACTTAAATTCGGAAAGAAATGAGAGATTTTCCTTTCTCCTTCCCCGAGCCTCGAGGCAGACCTCTAGGTTCGCCTGTAAAAACCCACCTTTGCATGGGGTGAGACGTTTAGTTCTTTGAAGATGTCTTCTGCGGTAACCGTTCTATTTTGCAACGCCATTTTAATAAGAACCAAAGCTTTGACACTGCACTGCAATACATACACTGTATATATGTACATGTACTGTACATGTATGCCTGTACACGTACATGGACACCGTGACTTTAAATACGAACGTACATGGCAACGCAATTTATGGAACTGCCCCTAATACAGTCAAGGTACAAAAACGCCAGCTGGCATATGTAATCCGAGGTCAGCGAGCATGCAGTACGCAGGTACCGCATTCACATTAAATGCCTCTTTGGCGTTCCATATGCGTGTGCTGTGTGGGAAGGTCTCTGCGATAGGTTTTCCCAATGACAAAGCCCCTTTTTTAGTAAAAAAGGCATGAACGAAAATTGGACGACAAAAAAAGTAAAGAATGAACAAATTTTTCCAGATTTTGAAATGCATCACTCCAACTCCGCTTCCGCACAAAGAGTGTTTGTGTACGCAGCACTAGCTCGTATCGGACCAGCGAAACGTTTTTTGTGTTTGTGTGTGTCTAATTTAATGGGTTATGTTGTTCTTTTAATCAGTTTAATTATTTTTCTTTTTCAATTTTAAAGTGCTCATGCTTGAGTCTTTCAGTTTGTAAGTTGATACCGTTTCTGTTTTTTGTTTCACAGCTTTTTAAAAATATTTTTTTAATGTTTAATTGTAACATGTCTAATTTGCTTATTACTAATAATTAGGTATACTTTGGAGTGCACAATACAACGTTATACATGCAGTTGTTTATAAATTATACTATCTGCCTATTAATGTGGGTTTCGTCACGTTCAAAAAGCAAAAGAGACGAAAGCAGTAACCCAAGTGTAAGATAACGTATTGGTGCTCACTTACTTCGTTTCTCCCAACGGTTGCCAACCCTTCGGTGCTAATTCAAAATCTTTAAACTCAAATCCTGGACTGACTGTGCAACCGAATAGCGTCCATTCTCCCAGACACTTGGCGCTTTGCCACTGATCGGCACGAATCAACAACTGAGGCTGCTGGTCTTGAAAAATATCCGGCCCAAAGGTGATCACCTTTTGGAGATTTCCGTCTGGAGACGCAAGGCGGACCTCGGCCGGATCTCCCGCGTAAAAATGCCACAACTCGTTTTTGCCGCGGATTCTATGCCACACGAGTCCATCGCCTTTGGTCATAACGTAGTAAATGGCCGTGCTATGAGACTGACCATCACTGTTCACATCATCACACCGATAGGTTTCCCTGTAAAATCCTCCTTCAGGATGAGGAGAGAGATTCAAATTCTCGATGATGTCTTGCATCGTAACATTGCTGTAGGTGGATCTAATCACGTGGTTTTCAGACGACATCTTAAGGCAAATTCGAGCGACGGACACAGTTAACTATGGCTTGTGAAACACCACAACCAGTGATGGGTTGGAATTATATAGTTGACTGAACCAGGCCCTCTGACGTGGTCGCACAGATGGTTATCAATAGGCCAAGCCGATTTTATTTATTAGTACAGAGGGAACCAACTTCAAGTTGCGACCATCAACTTGGCTGGTACCAGTGGTACAAGGGTCATTCGGGTATGCCCCTAGCTAGTTCTATCTGTATCGTGCGTTAGTCGTCCAGCTGGACTTCCATCACACCCATATACCAATACATGTACAAAATGTACGTGTACATGTACATGTACGTGCCTTTGTTGACCATGCGCGGACTCAGGTTGAACAAATCCGAAAGCGAAGGCCTTTTCGTTACCCTTTGGCCTTGTTCTGATGACACCACACACTGGATATTTTCACTAATAATCATGCACGCATGCGCGCAAATAGCCTTGGAGGCAAGGGCCATTGGAAATATACAGGGGTGTGATTTTGATCATTTTTCTCCCTGGTTTTCTCGCTTTGTTCACTGAGTTTTTTCTTCAGAAAATCTCATTAAGTCGTTTTTGTTATTAAAATTTCTAATCTAAGCTGGATTTTAGTGCTCTGTAAAAAGACTTAACAATGGTGATTTTTCCATTGCGCAGGAGATTAAGTGGAAAAAATTCCATAATCAGTGAAAAGGTCTCTTCGTTGACGTGTTTGCACGAGCGGGTCACGATATTCGTATGTGGCGTTGTTGTACGCAGCCCCAATCTTTTTTTTTCCAGTTGCGGTTCGTGTTGTGTTCTTTGGAGCGCACCATGCTTAGAGAGGGCATGAATTCGTTCCTCCATGGTCAGACCTCTTTTATGGGGCGAGGCCAACTTTGTCATCACATGCAGTCGCACAAGGCCAACTAATTTGGTTGCCCGAGTGTCATGGAGGAAGGATAAT